CTTTCTTTTATAACAATAGGACTGCCCATTATACTTCATAATAATTTCAGTTAATTGCTATTGTAACTTAGCACATAACTTATACTATTTTAAGAACTTACGTCATCATCCTCCTCGCTTTATCCCATTGTTTGGAGTCGACGCAGTATGTCCCTATTCTCCATTCTTCTCTATCGCCCTCTACACAAAGTATAAGTTACTAACTTACTTAATTTCCAACAAAGAGTTCATCATCAACTCGATTTGCAAGTACTTGTTTTATTACAAGCATATCAAGTAAGATTAAAGTTAATCAAAACCCCAGTCATTGTCAAGTTAACAAAAAAAAACAATATTCCGCTAATTTGTTATTAAACCAAGCGTTCAAAAGCGGATGTCGAGAATAGAACCCTAACCATTCGGTACCTGGCGCTACCCACGGGAACTAAGTCACGGTTCGTGGGTGGCAGGAATTTGTGTTGTAAGTTTGAAAATACAGCTGTGAAACAATACGTAATGAGGTACTCTGGGTACATGTTGGCCTCATGGAATAACACTTAAAGTAAAGAAGGGAGGGCTGGGTTCGAAAGGGCCCTTTTTGTGCATAATATTACATGAATCGTCCGCTGCTTATATTTACCACAAAACGAAGTACTGTTCCCATTTTGAGAAAGGTATACACAAGTATAGACAACCAAATATCTTATGTTCATATGCATTAGGTTTATTAAGAAAACCTAGGTACAGCACAAAGACTGTACAAATTTTAGTCCATATTTATTATACTGTTATACTCTATCGAGTTCTTAGGACTTTGCGACGGCTACACATTGGAAATGAAACTATTTTTTACAACTTCTGGCTGAATTATTTTTTAAATGTATGTTACGCGATAACCTTACGCATTTGTGAACCGATTTTGATGATTCTTTTTTTGTTGGAAAGAGGGTACCTCAGTATTGGTTCTATTTAAATTTGAAGAAAATATTCCACCTCTAAGGTGGCAAACTAGGGGACGACCCCGGTTGCGCTAAGGCTCATTGGCTAGTTGTTGGAAACCCATTGCCACTTACGCGCAGCGGCCTATGCCGCGCCAAACTCGAATTATAATAATTGCCACTGCGTATTAGACGCGTCCTTTTCCGAACGCGCACCGAACTGCAAAAAAACATATAACCCGTGCTGCTGCATAGAGTTACCATCATCGGTATATCTATCGTATTATTATGATTGTAGTATTATTGGTCATACTATTGAATGACATAAAAAACTTAGTAGTGTTGTAACTGACGTTGACTTATAAAAATAGACTTTTTTGACATGCTATACAATAACAAATGTTAAATGGATGTATGACTTAGCTACAGAGGACTGTGTAGTACATAGTCCTTGTTAATATTTTGCTATAGCCCGTGATGGATGAAAATACTAAAAATTGTCAAACACCTGAGTAGGCAAAAAATCAAAACAAAATAGATATATTTTTAATTACAAGCATAAACTTCGTCTTGTAAATATTCTACCGTGGTAAAGTAATTGCTAGTTAGACATCAAAAATGCAGAACAAAATGCTATACAATAATTCAGGGATTTGAGAGAAACATAGATAGATCATGTATATTTACTCCGCCTATTGCGATGTGTGAAAATTATACAATATCCCGTATGAATTTATAATACGGGTGAACCTCCAACTCCCCCCTCGTGGCATCAAATTAATAGTAGATACAAGATATGCGAGAACATTGATGAGTTTCGGTTCACGGCGTTTTATGACAGAAAAGTACAACTTACTTTTGTACAGTGACGTTAATACTCTTTTTTTTTTAAACTTAAGTCAGAGAAAATTTAGCGAATGAAAAATGTTTTTTTAACGAACTTAATAAAGTTTAATAAAAAAATGTGCTATAAATGTATACCAAAAGTACAATTAATTTATGATATAATATCGCTATGAATTTTTTTTTGATACCAAGGCTTAACCACTGTGCCCGTCACCCTGAGACATAATTTGACAAGTTCCATTTGCCTGCTATTTCACCAGCTTACATTACTGCTTGGCAGTAGAAATAAGTAAGGTGGCAGTACTTCCTTAGACGACCTCTTTCACAAGGAGCTCTACTGCTAATAAAGAATTATAGATGTTTATGAACATAAACTGGACGATAGCAGGATCTCAATGGAGGTATTTAAAAGATCGTCAATTTACCTATTTCTGCCCCTAAGCGTTCTGGTTTTTGAAGGGTGCTGGTGAATCTAACGGGTGCAGTCCCAGTGCCTCTGAAATCTTGTGTTCAAATTCAAAAATCTACACAACCATGTGGCTTTGTTTGATAACAGTGATTCGCATAACAGTGCGAGTGTTGAATCAATGACTTGGAAAAAATATATGGTACAATTGAGCATATACACTGATTACTATACTGTGTGAAAACACGATTCCTAAAAATTTTCACGAAAGGAAAAAAAACACAAAACTTACCTCGACATTTTGAAAGAAAATCGCTGTATTCAATAGGTACTTTACCAATGTTTTTTTTTATATCAACTGAAATAAATACAACATGTACAGTACACGATATACATTTTTCAAATGGCTTTAATTACGTTAGTAAAAAAAATCTGATATAAAGCCAGTGACTCAAGCAAATGAGCTATATTAGTACGGGAAACATTTTAATTCGAGCTGAGGCAGTATCGGCTCTTAGAGCTCTGGTGGCTCTGCAACTGTTAGACGTGTCATTTACCGTCAGGCGCACGACTCGTTATCGCATATCGTAAAAGTAAATTATAATCTCAGTACAGAGTACTAAAAAAACCGACCTCAAAAGTACGTGGAATTATGTCTATTTGCTAACTTTTATTGAAATATCACCTAGTTCGCCACTATACAGGACTTAACACTAGAGATAATAAAAATCGGTTCTCACTACTCAAAGTATATTGAGAGAAAAACGCCTTGAATTGGAGAAATAGCAAAATCAACAATTAAAATAATTGCTCCTAAATTAAAGTTTAGGCGCTATTTATAAAAATGAATCTTCATGCGTGAACAGCCACCCTTAGAGGTGGATGATTTTTTTCAAAATGAAACGGAACCACTATGGAAGTACCCCCTTTCCAACAAAAAAAAGAATCATGAAAATCGGTTCACAAATACCGAAGTTATCGCGTAACATACATACAAAAAAACATACGATCGAATTGAGAACCTCCTTCTTTTTTGAAGTTGGTTAAGAAGTACCTACTACTGGCTAACTAAAGCATGTCATTGACGGAAACGAATTCTGTACGTCACAACATAGAACATCAAGATCTGAGTCGAACTATGTAAATAACTTATTTCCGTCATAATTATGAGTTACATATATGGTGATAAAGGGAACGATATTTATCACTCATAATTATAATTATCAACATTGCCATACTAATTTGATCGCACTACCGCGTTCATTAAGTTATTGTTTCCTTTGTGTACAGAGTGTTATCACCGCTTTGATAACCTAGATGGGACCACGCTTGCTTCAGTGAAAGAAGAATATCATTTATTTGTTTTAACTTTTTTGCTCAATACAAGAAAGTCAAATGGCGGAATTAATGCCAATTACGTTAGTTAGTTAAATTATAAAGTATACAATAAATATATATAATCTAACATAAACATACTTAATATATACATATAAAAAACACACATAAATATTATAAAAGTAAAATGTAGTCTTGATTTTTTAGATTGTCGAAAATATGTTTGCTTAAAAGATGATTTGATCTCAACTTGTCTTGCAAAAAATAATTGCTATATTAACGAAAATATTACATAAAGTAGAACCTAGAGTACTCTTAATTTGTACTGCTGTTCAAATCGTAAACTCGCAAACTACCTCAGCACTGAACAACAGCGCTAGATGCGGATTGGGACGAAGACCATCGAAACTGAGTAGTACTAGAACGGTAAGGCTTCAATTTTAGTTTCATATTTTGACAATGAATTACAGGAAATATCCACATCCATAATGCACATTATTCAAATTCAAATATCTATATTTCGGAATATACGTCCATAGAGGTTAATAACAAAGCACTTAAAAATAGAGTTAGTACTACAAATAACTGTTTTTTTCTAAAACTAATACGCAACCGGGACCAGTGTTCATGAACAGAACCCTGGATCCTGTTTGCAATTATACGCAGGAGGTTGTTGTCGCTTCCACGAACTCTATGCACCAGGGAAGCCGCTCTTTTTCGCATAATAGCTTATAATTTTCGCATAATAGATTATGATAAAACCTGCATATTGGAGAAGATTCACAATCCCCATTAAACTTTGGCCTAAAATAGTCTGTACAGCTGTAAGACGTAGATGACGTAGTTTATTCTTTCTTCGTGTCTAATTTAGAAGAACTAAACTAGGTCTCAACTCGCCAGTCTCCTGTCTGTCCAGATTACACAATGAGTACAGTGCCACAGTGGATATGTTCTCGGACTCGTTAACCGGTCTCCGCAGAGTAATTGCTAGCAAGTAGACATATTGTTTTTTTTTTTTTATTTTTTTTTTTTTTTATTTTTTTTTTTTTCTATTTTTATTGTTTCTATATTTTTGTATTCGTATTTTGTAGCCCTAAAATATTTTTTCCCGCTTTGTGCAAGACGTGTTTCACCTTTTACCAGTGGTGAGTCTTGTCAAAGTACTCTTACATATGTAAGTTGAATTTATAAATGAAGTCACAACTGTTGATGAACCTAATAAACGAAAATTATAATTTTGCATTGCTATTGTAATATCACAATTGAACCTTTTTTTTTGGTAAAATGTAAATAATATTTTCTGCTTCACTCATTATTATTTACTATAAGTTTGAGCTAAGATTGACTAGTGGGAAATTAAACAAATTGACCAAAATTATGTAAAAAATCTTTTATTTAAACTTATGTACGTTCTTTAAAATATTGTAGTTACTTAATAGTAACAATTTTTACATTGTTTGGTTTTTATAATAAACCTATATACTAAATTTGATGACATTTATTTAATAATATTACTAACATATATATTACCACCTATTTAAATAAAGAAGGAATGGAATACCAATGAATAATCGAACTTATATTTAAAAGAAAATACAAATTAATTATTATCGGTAATTTAAGCCAATGTATGGTTGTCAAAAATTGTATCAAAATCTATACAATTAAGAAACCCAATTGATTTAATTAATAACCTATCACAACACACATAAATTATCACAAAGTGTACATTCTAATACTTAAATATTTAGTGAATACATTTTGGTACGAATTTTTCGGCATTTTTTTTTCTTATAACTGCATTTGTTAATAAGAACACAAGTTCCGATAGGTAAAGTTTAATAAGAACCAATAACGTTATTACTAATTTGTTGAAAATTTACTTTGTTTAAAATAACATTTTGATTTCCAAAGCCTTACGAGCTGGCCTTGTCCGTTAATACAAACGATATGCCAGAATAATTTATGGGTACTAATTTTATAATTAAGATTTTAAGAAGAGCATTATGGATTGCAATTATCGCGAAAATAATGCGTAACTACATTTCGAATAAAAAATGCAATCAATTGAGCAAAAATCCAACTATATCTTGTTAAAACAATTTAACTCTTAGACGAAAATATATTTAAAAACTTCGTCTTAATATTTAAAAGTGTCGTGATAGACCTTTTTACTTTCTTCTTTGGAACTTTTTCTCTCAAAAACGGTTCAGAGTGGGACTTCTGCATTGGTGCAGGCGTTTCTGGCTCCTGTTCTTTTGGCAACTGGTATTTATATTCCTTGACCACCTTTTCTTCGTTAGGATCATACCGGTATAGCACTGAATAGGTCCTTTTGACCTTTTTTGGAATTTTGGACACATTTGCAGTTCTATCACTCTTGCAGCGTTTGACTTTGTTTCTGCCATAGTAATCTTGGTAATTATCAGGGTCTACGTAGATGATACGTTTCCCTAAGGCTTGTTCTCTTTCCTTCTTCAAACTCTTCCAAGATGCGATGACAGATTCTCTTCTGAAAGTCTTATTCGGATTATGTCTGCTGATGCAATAAGTTTCTTCTTCTTGAATGTTTGAGGTGTCCTTTAAGGGTGAACCTCTGGGACTCGGACTGTATTCTATTTCGTAGTCATCGCGTGATACCTGAAAAGATGAAAAAGAGAAATCAGTACAAACAAGGAATTTTTGAGAAAGTTGAATTTTACAATGATTGTTCATTCAAATAATAGAAGTGACTGTGTGAAAAATCAACCAACACGTTGTTTTCGATGTAACCTTACAAAATGCCTTTATGTTTCGATCGATTGCCAACACTCCGTTGAATAGAACACATGTGAAGACAGGTGCCAGACATCTGGGTACCGAAGGAGTAGAAGGAGATGACATATAAAATTGACGTATAAAATTGACATATGATGAACAGAGACAGATATATCACAATACCAATCACGTTCAAAAACGAAATAATCTCAAGGTCAGTTATTAGACAGAAACATAATATTAATGATTTATTTCGCCATTGAATAGGGCCAAGCCGACTGAGTCAAAACTATTTTAAAAAGTGCTCTGTTACGAGATAAAAATCTGAAAAGTTCTTCCGACTAATCGCTTCCAGGAAGTTGAAATTTATGTTAAACAATTTTTATGTGCCAAGTTTTTAAACCTATTAGAAAGGAATTGAAAGATGAATGTGGGATTAAAAAACTCTTTATGAAAGGCCTATTCTGTTTTTCAGGATTTTTTGTATATGTTCTATGTAGTCTTTATGTCAATTTAACAGAATTTTCAGAACAGGAATTATTGTGCATTTAGCATTATGTATTTAAGTGTTGTAGCATTATGTGTGTACTTACACACGTATATTGTATGTTTTACAATATACGCGGTATAATGTTTTCAACAAAGTTTAATTAAAATCATAAGAGGATTCCATCATGAAATATTTTTTATTCCCGAAATGTTTGCTGTGGATTTAGTTAAGAATAACTGTGTTTGTGTTAACCACTGAGTTGACTAGGAAGTTTACTCTGTAAGAAGCATAGGCAATAAAGATTAACAATTACAAGGCCTCGGATTAAGATAAAAACAGCGTAAAATATTCTCGTACACGTATCGTGACCGCCTCTCAAACAGAGCCTGTTGTGTAGTTGCGGTTCGAGAACGGGCTCGCAAATTCAATTGGGAATTTACCATGAGCTTTTCGGTGAAGGAAAACATCGTAATGAAACCTACACGTCGAAGGAGGTTCACAGTCCTCGGTAAACGTGTGAAGTCCGCAACCCACACTAGGCCAGGGTGATGGACATAGCCTAAACGTTAGCCTGAGAGGAAACCCATATGAGGTTTTTGAGTATTTAGTTGTCATGGAAGCATAAAACAATTTGACTGTGTTATCTATTTTGCCAAGTCCTAAAAATTTGTCTGTTTAAAGATGACTTTTAACTTTCAGAAAACAAAGGAAATGAATTTTTTCGGATCTAAATCGCGTATATTTGTTTTGTTTTTTTTTGAACGTATCAATTCGGGCCCTGTAAATGTCCCATGGCCACGGCTGACTCTGTGACACCGTTTCGGAAATTCAAGTGATGTCATGGGAAAGAGTATTATTTATAACACACAATACAAATACAATAAATAGATTCTAAACAATCGACGTTTGTATGTTATTAAATTTGATGTGATTAATATTAAAATTATTACGACATTGTATTTATGTACCAATTTTGTAATATCAATGTACAGTCAAAACAAACTCTGCGTTAAGCAACTATATCTAAAATTGTTTTTTTTTTAATATCTGAAGCGGTATGTTTACATAATAACGTTTGAAGTTAAAAGCTTTCGTGTTAACGACTTTAGTTAACAGTTGCGTAACTTTTAGCGGTTATTTTTTTTTACACTTTTCATATTGTGCAATATTATTTTTTTAGATTGGTATGTTTCATAATGGGTCATGTTATATTTATATATGAATTTATGTTACTGCCTCCGTAGCCGAACGGTTACCATCCCGGACTGCCACGCAGAGGTCCCGGGGCGATTCCCAGGCAGGGAGCAATATTTGTATGGCCTACATTTATATCTCTCGTGAATTTGAGTGAAATTTGTGGTTGTCTCCATGATACCCGCGATACAGGGTTTCCCTAGTGCGGGTATAGCCCTGATAGCTCATAGGAAGTGTGTGCATTAATATTATAAATTTAAGCATATAAATTTTTTTATTATCATAGTTACATTTGTAGGGGGAAACTTTTTAAAAGTTTTATTCATCTAAACGATTTCCTTTTGATGTTTTTGTATAAGATAATTGCTCTATTATATTTTTTACATTAAACCTGTAATACGTCTAGATCACAATCTTATAGAATTCTTTTTATCGTAGCATCAAATAATTTTTTAGTTTTCTTCGGTATTAGATCTATTTTCCACAAACTGTCACAACGTAACAAAACACCTCTAGTGACACGGCATATATGTCTTACTAGTGTTTTGACAGGCGTTGTGCAACATTATTTTTAATGGACCAACGTAAAACCGCGCGAATCCAGGCCGAGAAAAATAGGTCACTTTAAATAGTCCTATAGTTAACACGGTCTAATTAAAAAAACATAAATTTGGACTTCGGCAATGTAATAGACAGCCTTCTCTTTTGTTTTTCCAGGTAACTTCTCCAACATCTAAACGAATTAGAAGCACTGGCAACTAAACTGTAAGTTTTCAACGACAGCATAGCCACACAAAATTCAGAAAACCAATACCTTCTATTTTCAACGACTACTATTGTATTGAATTTAAAATTAGAACTGACGAATTCTAAATTGGAATTCAAAACATCTACTGCATTTTGTTAGCTGCGTTCGTTAATTTATTTAAAGAGCCGGCGATTAATATCATGATTAACGTTCAGAATGTATCATCATTCATTCAGACAAAACATAAGTATACCTAATGCAATTGGTTGGATTTTTATCTCTTGAAATAGAAGAGAACGCAGCCTTAGTCTAAAACATATGGGTATTGTTAAATTCCGAACATCAAAAGCTGTGAAAGAATGAAAAATGGGCCTTCAATTAATTTTCAAATTTTACATTATCTCAAAGATGCACGTCACTGCGACACGTTCCATTTCACGCTAATGTCATAACGTTAAACGTATAGTATTTCTGTTCAGTGTATTTTAGTACAACAAATTTAAACTGAAGGTGATAATACTAAAAGCGTGCAGTTAATTTTGCCGCGGATTATTTTGAGTCAATGCAACTGGTTATTATTGTTTTGTACTGGATTGTACACTCGAGTTTGGTCGTATTAAATAATATTCGACCTGGCTGAATTAACAGATAATTATTTAAAGACAAAGATACATACAATAAGTTATATTTTTATTTTAGAACAAGTATGGATAAAACGTGACCTAATAGCGATTTTATTGTGCTTCAGAAGTCACGTCTCGTATTCATTGAGGGCCTTGCTACTGTGTTTTTGAGTTGTTTATTTTTTTAGAGTTCAAGGTTAAGTGTTGCCATAAAAGCGACTGTGAGTGCATCATTAGAGGCGTTTCTTTTTATTTCCACTTTGCCTGTACAGACAATGAATTTGGTCACGTTTACTCTTTCAAAACTCCCGTAATCGTTCAACGATTTATTTGATTGATTTGTTGGTTTTATATTTATTTTCTAAGGTGTTCTAAATTTGATTCATTAACTCAAAAGTATTTGTAATTTGAAAAGTGCCTAGATATAAATTAATTTTCCAAATAATGTTTACTATGACAGTTAGGTATCTACTTACATTTTTTATGCATTCATTCACTCAACCTACATACATTTTTGTCCCGTTATCTCTTATATGCGTATGGCAATGCAAAAAACATTTGAAATAACGGATTTTTTAAATTTACAGTAAGCTTACGTATTCTATTCAATTTTGCTGTGTAATGTTCACGATTTTAAAGTTAAGATTTTTTAGTATATTCATGATTTTTAGTGTTTGCAGGTTTTTGTGGTTGGTTACTTTCTAAAAAAAGTACAGGTGCACTTTAAAAAAAAATCTTGTAATGATTTCAGAATACGTGGCGACAAATTATTATTCTTTTTCAAAGGCTTTTTTAAGACAAAAACTATAAATATCATTGTTTTAACTAATATATTCTAACCTATTACTCTATTTTTAAATACATAACCGAAGGTTTAATAACCCAAGTAACGGTTATGGGACAGTTAAAAATAGAAGTGACATATCACGGACTCGCGTCTTTTTACTGACTGCTTTTTAGTGACGAATCAGTTTTTTTCGGTGTCATGTTGCACCATGATGGTGTAACGTTGAGGTTAAGTTTAATGACTCTTCGGGTCGTATTCCAGAACTCTACTCAATGCTCAAGTCAGGATCTGAGTATGATTTCAAGCACTGGAAATACGACCCTAATGGCAAGGACTTGAGTATGATTTCTAGTGCTTTAAATCATACTCAGATCCTGACTTGCGCATTGAGTAGAGTTTTGGAATACGACCCTAAAAGTTCGATAATTGCACTTAATCTAGGAAAATATTTAGTTCAAAGTGTGCATGAAATTGTGCGCTTAGGTGTTAGAGAAGATTTTGAAAAGAACTATTTTCTCTTGATGTCGAACGGTTTCTTTTGGAATGACATTAGCTCTTTAATACAGTTTTATTTTCTGATATCGAATTCGTGATTTTTTCTGTAAAAGATTTAAAAAAATATCAATAACTAAATATTTACGTATCTAAATTGCGCCAAAATGGATTATTTTTTTCCTGGAAACTATTTTTGTGGTGATTTTCCTACATTTGTAAACATCTCGTTAGTGGCCTGATATTCTATTTTTTTATTTTTCCTAATTTCTTAAAATAATAGAGAGAGAGAGAGATTGCCAACTTCGTTTCGTCAAGTGATAAAAGTTTACAAATTATTGTTTCCTGTCGTTTAACATCTCCTTTATAATTTTAATCGTTTTATATTTTTATGTTTTTCTGTTTGTAAACGCAAAGGCGATTTTTTAATTTCAACGTCAACGGTCAACAATATTAATAAATCGAAAGGTTTCTGTAATTTACATTCACAGTGAAATTGTTTGTTATGTATTACGTAATTGCTCTATACATATATACCTTTCATACGTATTTTTGTACTATACACACACCCATTATAGTGAAAGTGGTTGAAATTTGTCAAAACCGGCTCACAATCTACATATGATACCTATCTATAATTTTGACAGCCACGACAGCTCATTGTTTGATTGACAAACACTTTCTATTTTTTTTTTGCCTTAAGTAAGCCATTGTTGATTGGCGCATGAATAATTTTGAAATCCGATTGATTCATATCTATTCAATAGGTGTCGTCTGTGATTTCGCTTGTAATATATTGACAGGGCTTCACCATACGTATCTTACCAGACGCAGTGTATTTATTTTCTGTTTATTTTTACGCACAATAGAAACTGAATTGAATAAGCTTTAATGGTTAAACAAGAAGTGTGCAAGTGTGCTTACTTTTTTATATTTATTGTGTAGATTTACATTAGATCAGTTTTCTATTTTTCCTTTGTTTCTTTATTCAGAGGTCGCGCGTCATAAAGTACGCGTTAACATTCCATGATTTAAAATGGCAGTTCCATTTTTGAACAATGGCAACTGTGAGAGTTTTCCATAGACAAAGCGTAATTGTTTCTTGCTGGAGCGGTTGATTTACTTTTTTAACGTAGGAACTGTCATTAGAACTATAAATGAACTCGCATTTATAAACATAGATTTCATTTGTTTTTTTTATATATATTTCTTATTTTTAAACAAATCGATGATTATGAGATTATATTCCCTTTTAAACAGTTAACTTGTGTTGGTACCACATCGTTAACAAAAATAGGTTAATACGAAATTAGATGCAATCAATTAAATTTTAACTATTAACTACCACGAAACCCCAAGGTTGCGTTGAGAATGTAATGCCTAATATAATTAACCTTTTATTAACGGTAATAAAATCGTTTAAGGCATAATATTTCAGATAATATCACGAGTTAATTAATCGATTGACGAGTAAATTAAAGCCGTATTAAATCTTAGAATTTCCGAGAGTCAGAAATCGTAAAACTTTAAAGCAAAGAGCTTTTGAAAAAAGAACGCAACACCATATTGGATTCGACGCACGCGCGTTGGTCATTGACCAAGACCATAGACAAGTTCAGTTGCCTTTTAAGCGCATTAAACTGGCCATGCACTTTGCGTAATAGCTTTAACTCTCAGTCGTTCCAAATTCAAACGTTTGCTTAAAGTTGTAACTGTAAACATTTTTGTCACTGTTACTGTATTAGTTTATTTACGTAATCTGTAATGTTGATTTATTAATATTGTAAAAAAGTCTATCTTTTCGATAATAAGTATAATTCAAGGTAAGTGGGTAGTTTTGGTTGCTTGTAAATGTCATATTTAGTATTTTTTAACAAGGCGTTTTTATGATACTGAACATCGAGTTTGACCCTTTCGAGAAACTTTATTACCTTGTTTTCTTAACAAATGTGTACCTACTAAATAAAAAGAGAATTGTTTGGCAAAGAACCATTAAACAGGTAACAGAATTCTTAAGGCTTTGAAAAAATTACTATACTTATAGAGTAAGGTAAGCTTACCTACGAAGAGACTACTTCAAGACGAAAATGTATGAAGGGGTTGAATGAAATGACTAGTGATTAACACTTACCACGCTCTCCCAACTACCACCGAAGACAGTTTTGTCCAACATGTTTGCGTCTCACGAGAATTCCACACACAAATTCTGATATCCCGCCAAATTACGAAATTTCAGATTGGGTAATGTTATGGGTAACGCAAGGCCGATCACGTTGTCACTGGTGAGAAAGAAAATTTGGCACTTGTTCACTGTTTCAAATCTCCTGAACAACTGAAGCGGTTTCGGGATCGGACCGTATTTATAGCCCCGTGGGGTAAAGAAGTCGCGGCGGGAGTTTCAGGGAATCGAGGTGTTTGAACACGCATCCACTCTCTTTCGGGGAAGCCTGTCTAAATCAGCGCTTAAGTAGGACTTTTTGTTTCTATGTCAGAGTGGTTCACTTTTCGTCTTCGGGGAAAATTCAAAGGTGTTTCGGTGTAACTTCAGATTTTCGGTCGGTTGGATTATAACATTAATACTTAAGGATACATTGCTTGGAAATTTTATTGTGGGAAAGCGATAGGATTCATCATTAATTTATTGCTTCAAGCCACGTTTTTAAACATTGGTAATAGACCGTAGTTTATTGTATTGAAATGGACACGTCACTAATGGACGTAAGTTACAATATTCATGGCTGACTGATGATCATAAGTCCATTGGACCTGTAAAGGGTCCGAAATGTTGGTTTGTTTGGAAAAAAAATATACGCGATAATTATTAAATAATTTGTAAATATACACAAAAACCTAAGAATCCGAAAATTCAAGTCACAACATAGAATATGAAATTCTGGTCTAATGTCAAAATTGGGGCTAGCGCAAAACTGGTGTGACTCCAACTCCATGAAATGCATACAGAAGATCATTTGAAATATCGTAATCATATATATGACCTATATAGTAGGATATAGTATAGATACACCCATCATCATCATTACCTATATAATAATATATAGTAAGCAAAAATAATATATAGTTATAATTATGATTTTTTATACATGAAAATATCATCGAAATATAAAATGACAGGATGAACAAGTCGTGCGCCTGATGGTAAGCTACACGCCTGTACATAACAGTTGCAGTGCCACACAGAGCTTTAAATCGCAAAAATCTGAGAGTCACTACCACGGCGCCCGTCACCCTGAGACAAGAGTTGACAAGTCCCAATTGCCTGTAATTTCACCTGCACTCCTACCCTTCAAAATCGGAACACAGTAATGCTGACATTACTGCTCGACGGCAGAAATAGGTAAGGTGGTAGTACTATCCTGGACGAACTCTTTCACATGGAGCTCTACTGCTACTTTAAGTATCATTTAAAATAAAATTGTAGTAATAAAAATAAATGTGAGTTTTTAGCGCTGATTGTAAGTTACGTCCTGAACAGAACGATACAACATAGTTAAATAATAATGTTACGCCGGTTACAGTATGTTTAATTTTACCTAATTTTTCATTTCGAAAATCCTCATAATACACCCGCACAAACACTGTCGTGTCTCGAAACTCCCCCGCCGACCACTTCATGTCGAAAGTCTGCTTTCGTTTTACAACCCTCTTTGCATTTCGTACTAAGTGCCGGAACGCAGCGCATGAGTGCATTGACGTCATTGTGCAACTAGTGCATAAAGCTGAATACTTAGTGAAAGACCTACGATGAACCTTAAACTTGGAAATGTTGTAGATGTTATCCTTTAAATATGAATAAATAAATTGAAATATTGAAAACTATAATACTCATAGGATAGATATTTCTTTTGTTGAAAATTAAATCTTGAACATTTACAAAAAAAGCAACTATACACGGCCAGCCTTTAAATATTGACTTATTATTTAAGGTAGATATAGTTGGTGTAAACTCCGTACATCGGCCTGATGCAGCAAGCAGACAACTAGCTACAGATGAAGACTGAAAATTAGCAATGCCGCGTCTTCAACTTTTTTCCACATTATCAATTGTATTTTCGATTAGTTATTAATTACTATGTTTTGTGGAGAAATAAATGTCTTTTTAACCGACTTCAAAAAATGCAGGAGTTTTTGTATATATGTTACGTGAATTACTTATTCACGCGATAACTTGTTAACCGATTTGGATGATCCTTTTTGGTTGGAAAGAGGGTAAGGGAGGGAAGGGAGGGTCAGTATTGGCCCTATTTAAATTTGAAGAAAATATTCCACCTCGAAGGGTGGCAAACTAGGGCATGAGTCCGGTTTCGTACACTTTTCGGTAGCCGATTTCAATAAAACTGGCAAATAAAATTGATGTCGGTTTTTTTTTATAAAAAAGATATTACAACCACTTATATATTGATTTAAAGAAGGCTTGTGCCTAGCAGCTGGGTGCGCTTGTGTTATAAGGCCTTAAAAATTTTGTAAACGTAAATCTGTGTGCACAGCTTTAGTTCAGTTAAAATTAAACCACTTTCAATTAGCTTTCTTGTTTAGTTTACAGCGTGCAGAAATAGGTGAACCAGTGCACTTTGCGCGTATTTTGATTACAAACATTGGCTCGGGTAACTTCTTTTGTGTTATTTTGGATATTTAGTTTTCATGTCCTGTTTGCTTTTGGCGTGTTATATACGCCCCTTACGTTCTCAAGTTTTGTTAACAATCGCCCATAATACTGTTCGTTGGCTATTTTACGATGTTATTTGCAAGCTCTCACATCACAATATCAGTGAACAACACTGGTGTCTTTATATGACGCCATCATTGACACGTACAAATTATTTAACTGCACTGTATTGCCTTATGTGTTATTAGTTATTACATTACAACGACTAAGTACTTTGAATTTGCTGTTTTTTTTTAACTATTTAACTCTGAAGGCAGTTTCGTCGTTTACTCGAAAGGACCAAATTTGAAAAAAAATCTACGTTGAATAAACAACGTGTGTGAAACAGATATTGTGATAATATAATAACGTAAATAACACACATACTCATAGCCCCGCACTAGGGGAACCCTGTATCGCGGAGGCCATGGACACACACATAGACAACCACAAATTACACTCAAACTCACGACGATAAATAAATATAGGCCATACAATTATTTCTCCCGGCCCGGGAATCGAACCCGGAACCTCTGCATTGTAACCGTTCGCCCACAGAAGCAGTTATAGATATAAATCAGAATGATTCATGACAATTTTAATTAATATATTTATTTACCATAACTTAGGATTAACAATTTTACATAAATATTAAATTATGATCCCTACACTAAGCCATGTCTCGTGGGAACAACGCAAGTATGAATAACCCAACATCTATGCGGCTTATACTGTTGAAGCATTCTGTTTTAAGATCGTCAATCTTTTTCAGTGTTATATCACTTACGTTGTACCAAGCATAACATCGTGAAAAACCACCGGCAATATCATAGAGGATTTGTTTAAAAAGTTCGGAAAGTAACAAAATGGCGGAGATTAAAATATCGGTAATATTCTGAATACACTTTGATTTAAAATTCAATCCCTACAGTTAAATTCCCGCAATAAAAACAAGAAATAGTATCGTCATAAAGTTCACGTGTTTGTTACTACGACTGTGGGTAAAGGCATGCTGCGCGATGGAAAAAATATACGTGACGTAGAATGGAACAATATTTTATGGGTAATAATCGATTCGGACAGTGTGTTTTGAACAGTAAAGAGTGTAACTGTATTTTAGGACGTAGAGGTCCGATTCGCCCGGAAAAAGCCGCGAAAAGCCAGTTCGTTACATAACGTGACCATTGTTTTTCTCCCTCAGCGGGACGCCAGTAAATTTATTATTGTTTTAAAAATAAAACACTTGTTTTTGATAATTACGAAATGTTTAACGATTAAAAAAAATTTAAAAAAGAACTAATCTTGTGTAGTCTGTTGTGCTCGCTTTATGTATTTTTTACTTTCGCGCCATTTTTTCAAATTGTCATGCGGGACACGGAACATAAAAGCGGGACGTATGGTCACGTTATTACCTATATATATACCCATGGTTTCGGCGGGATGTCTTCTTTACTTGGTTGATATTCCTTTCTCAGGCGTACTAATACACGCTTTTACATCCAAGGAACGGACCCTGCGTACACCTGTACTTCCGAGCACATGTAATCCGAATATCTGTAAAGATTTAAGATGCGATTGAATAGGCATCTTTTGGGCGAGCTTGTTTCGTCGTAGACCCCATCTTTGCTCCAGAACTTGAAGATAATAAGAATAAGAATAAAGCGTGAAACACACTGATGTCGTCCATACAAATACACGAAATGCCTGACCTGCACCCGCTCTCTATGTTTTTTTTTTAAATTGCAGGCAGACAAACTATATATTTCACATTATTGAGAGAGGCCTTTGTGGATTTACGGACGTTTTTAACGCTCGATTTCATCATTCGCACTCGGAATATTCTGGGGACGTAACCTATGACGCAAAGAGTGACGTATTAAAACCTACGTCAGACTTACACCATCGTATTATGAAAGCCAAAATTAACGTTTGAATATAGTCTATTGAACAGAGGATGTCGTTAAGCACAATTCGAAACGTTCCGGATGTTAAATGTGTTTTTTGTTTTATTACACAAAATAGTAAACAGTCAAAACAGTTTCTATGTAGTATTTATGAAGCAGCTATAAAATGTAAATATAGCTTTCCGTGGCGGTAGGCACTTTATCTCTTTTGCGGTGGATAACATTCTATGTTGAACCAAAATCAAAAGATAACGACCTAGTAAAATTGATCGTAACAATATTTAACCTCAAACATCGTTAAAACTAATAGTTGCTATGCGTATTATACAGGTCGCTTAAACGAGTCTCTATTAGGCTCTGGTATATAAGAACTGTTACACACGGCACCTTTAAGTAGCGACGCAAACGCGCGACTGCTTGGGACACTTGGGATTTACATATCTTGGGATACGTTTGCATCGATGCAAACACGCGCCTGCAATTGCCTATAAATCGCAAGCGTAGCGATGCAATGGCGTAAACGCGCGTACGAATCGCGCGTTTCACGAACGCGCGCTTGCATCGCTGCTAACAGTCGCCGTGTGTAACCAGTCTTAGATAAAATAATCATTATATCTTTACTTTTAAATAACAATTGCTTCTTGTCGTATCGATGGCATGCATAATATAATGCTTGCCAACGTGGTGAAAGGATTTGCCAATCGGCGTAAGGCACTCGCTGATTGTTGCCCAGGGTGCACCAGACGTACACGAAAGGAATGATACGTCGCGTCGAGCGGGGAGGCTCCTTTCGTGGACCCTGTGTGACCTGCGCTCGATGTTACCTCCTTACATCGTCATCCCACCTTTTTATCACCTCTTTTCTCTGGTTGCTGGCCACTTGTTTTCAAATTTTGAATCGTTCTTTTCCTTTTATTCCTTTGCCTCACCATTCTCATTT